GAGGAAGCTGAAGTGTGAGGTTAGAGTAGTCAAAAGCGAGGAAATTGAAGTTTAGGAATACTGTAGTGAGATGCTGGTGACCATCGATATATCAATTGATACGATATCTTATTCACAACGAAGAATTTGAAGTGCTAGGATACTGTAGTGATAAGCTGGTGATAATCGACTCGATTGATACAAGATTTTATCGGTCAGATAGAACTCGAAGGCGAGTAAACGGTAGTGTTGCTAGTGATAATCGATTATCGATTGGCAAGATTTCATGAAAGTCGAAGAAGTTGAGTGGATGCCGTAGTGTAAGGTGTTTATAATCGATTATTGATTGAACAAATTATGCTGCCCACAATCGAATGGATTGAATGCGGGAATTTACTGTGAGCTGATTATAATCGATTATCGATTGATGCGAGATCTTATTGGAACCAGCGAAGAAACTGAACGGGGGATACTGTAGTGTAAGCTGCTGCTAATCGATTATTGATCGTTATGAGATCTTACCAGGCGAGTAAACTGACTGAAGGGTCGATTGTTGATTTGCCTTGGGGATAATCGAGTATTGATTATTGTACCGGCGATGAGCAAAATATCTGAGGACATCTTAATTAGGCTATATCCAACGTGGTAATCGACTACTGATTGCTAGATTTTGTTTGTCAATACCGGAAATATCGATTGCAGAAACTGTATTGTAGTAGCTAACTGGCGATGACCGATTATCGATTGATACCGTCGATCGATTATTGATAATAAATTTATTGAGGCAATGAGCGAAGTAACTCAAATATGGCCATACTGTAGTCGAATAGATGATGATAATCAATTATTGACTATTTACGTACTGCATTGCTCTATTCTACTTTTTGCAGAAGTGACTAGCTACAGTACGCCAGCGAAACTTATCGCGCCGGGACTCGTTGTACCAGGAACACTCTCCATCACAGCCACTGACCTCTTCTTTGATGCTGATGAGGAGAATCCATTGTACAAGAAACAAGATCCAAAGGTAAGGATGTTTTATTAAGCACCGAGAAACACACAGAACAAACAATAACTCGTATTTGAGGCCCTTATTGGGCCGGAAGATGTATAGCAAGGGCAAATTTGGACTTTATCCCGCATAGCAACTCTCCCCTTTCAAGAGGGAAGTGTATAGGTAAACAAGGTACAGATGAAAGCACAGTATCACTAATAATGTTTGAAATTAGGTGAGGCAACTAGTTTAGGAAGATATGACTGTGAAAATCGATAAAATCAATTTTATAAACTTTCTAATGCTCTAGCATCCAACATTAACTTTCTTACGAGATTCCAAGCCATTTTTGAGCTTTGATCCAATAAATGATGAGGTTTTCCTCGCAGTAGATCAAGCTGAGGAAGAAAATAGTGTGCACAACGTCGACATTGTAAACAGCTCACTAGCTGGAGCAGCACACCTGAAAATCAGGGTGATCACGGTGGTTACGGGTAAAGTACAGTA